CCCGCTTCTCTCTCACTTTCCCGTCGTCGCTGCCTTACAGCGGTCGCGGGCCCGACCTTGCCCTTGCCCTTGCCCGTTTGTCCGGCGCCCTGCGTGAGGACGGGGTCACTCGTGTTCCGGAGAACCGCAGGTCCTGCCGCCAAGAGCCGGCCGCATCGGGGGGTTTGTCCATTCCGTGCTGCCTGGAGCTGCTGGTAGTGCCTGCACGCCGGGGGAGGCGTGCGGTGTTCCCCGGCAACCTGTGGCCTTCGGCTGTAAATAGTGGCTACACACAGGTTACAGACATAGAGGATATGTCACCGGAGGACAGGCACTCTTCCCCTGGCATTTATAGCGTCAACAAGCAGAGGCTTTCTGAGCAAGAAAGACATAAAACTAGGTAATAGAAAGGTTTTGTGTGCAAAAGTTGTTTTGCAAGAAAGAAACGAGTTGAGAGATGACAATCAAGTAGAGATTAAAATAAGTCAGGAGAATGATTTATGATCAGAAGATGAAGAAAAGCAGACAGAAGAATTACTTGAACCTTTCAACTTCACAGCATAGAGCCCCTCTTATAGAAATGTTCTGAAGCCTTGTATTGGGAGATCTCATAAACTGAGGTATTAGGGGAGTTCCGTGTTTAATTAGGAGACTGTAGACCTCAAAGGATTAGTGCATTAGTACATTGTTTACTTTCCACAGATTCAGCCATCTAGAGAATGCTGTAGTAGAAGGCAACATGATTCTGTTCAGTTGTTAATTTTCAAAGACACAAGCTGAAAAGGTTCCTGACTTCTCTTTGTCAAGTTATATACTAATTCTTGTAGAAGTGGTGGAAGTTTTTCACTTGAACACTTCTGAGACCCTTAACGCAACTGAGAATACACTGGTTTGTCCTCTTTCCTGAAAGATCTGTAACACAGTAGCGTATACTGAACATAATGCTAAATCATAAATTATAGTAGCTATTACGACATGGTCTAATGCATATGGTGAAGCAAGATTTGAATTTGTTCATTTGAATTTTTAAGTTGTCCTTCACTGAGACTAAAGTGGTGGTAGTGTCATGTTGAAGAAGCAGTACTGAACTGGAAAGTTTCCTATTCTCATGCCTTCATCCTCTTCCTAAAAAACGACTTTTTGTGTGTGTACGCTTCTGGATGAATTATTTGCAGGTGTGGCCGTGTGACCAGCTCAGCTGAGCAGAGGGTGAGAACTTAGCTCGACATCTGTTAGGAGTAATGGCTTTCAGGGAAGCCTCCTGTTTCTGTCATTGGCAGATTTGAAGCAGAGGCAACACTTTTTCAGGGCCCTGCCAGGATGTTTATATTGGCCTTTTAGGAGGACAGTCTTGTTTGCATTTCCAGCTGACAGATACAGAGCATGCTGACAGAGAAGGTGGTTGTTTCTCAGAAACAGCCGTGTTTCCTCCACATCCTTCTAAGAAACTTTTGGCATATTAATTGTGAGAAAACAATTTAAGGTTATCACGAAGTACCTGGAATTGTGCTTTCTAGATATGCCAAAACAGACTAGGAAATACTAGGATGATTTCAAAAGGTTTCTTGTTATCAAGCATTTTTTATTTTTTATGGTGCTTGTCAGAGATTCTTGTCAATGTCTGACAAACATTGAAAAAAGTCTGACAAGGACATGAGGATTTCTGCAATTCATTACAGTCTGTATGAATAAACAGCTAAAACGGTGAGCTGTGAATCTCGGAGGTTTTGCGTTACATAAATACTAGTGTGTGTCATCTTTACCTTGTAAATCCTAATTTTTTTTTAGTGTTTGCTTTTACTGAAGTTTTTATTGGCTGATCTGGCAGTTTATATTTAGGGACTTTGTTTTGGTTTTGCTACATTACCTGTGGAAGATTATGCCCAGGTATTATACAGAGGCATAAAAAGTAATTGTTGAATTAGTTAATACACTTTTTTACATCCTTTTGAAATTCACTTTTCTCATGTTGGCTCTTTAAGTGTGAAAATACTTCAGGCATTTATGTTTCTATCTTTTTATTCTGTAATTGGATGATTTTACATTTACAGTTACTCTGCTTTCTGTTGGGTTTGTTTGATATGGGCACAATATATGTTTGCATCAATGCATTTGCAGTATTATATTCCCAAAATCCCAAATGATTGTTTAGGAGTGTAGTGCTAATAATCTAGCATCTCATATGCTAAATACCGTAGCAAATCAGATTAATTTGAAACATCTAGAACTGTCTAGGATATTTTCAGATTAATTTGAAACATCTAGAACTATCTAGGATGTTTTCTCACATCCGCTTTGGCAGCAGATTACTTAATCCGAGATTGAGGTGTAGTATGTTAGATACCGATTCCATATCAAATTCTGTACTAAATGGAAAGAACATGAAAGATTGGTTGGAACTAGGTGATCTTTAAGGATCCTTCCAACCCAAACCATTCTGTGATTCTGTGGTCAACCAGACCACCCTAATTGCAACTTGTTCATTTTAACTAAGAATCCTACTAGGAAACAAGCTAATTCTATTGATGTTTTATTGACAGGTTTTGAGGCTTTTTAAATCATTACACAGAACCAGGCAAGAAGTTTTTAAAAATGATACCAGAGCCCTAGAAGGTGAGATACCTTTTTTGTGTGGTGCATACTTACCTATCTTTCTATAGAACGTTCTTCTCTGAATTCACAGGAAAAGAATTCTTAACATAATCTTCCTTTAAGTTATACTTTTCATATTTTATAAGTAATCATTGGGAAAACTTTTGTGTCCATAACTAGATAGCCTTTAATTTTAAACAAAAACCCCAGTTGTTAGATTCAAGCACTCAAGCTGTATTTCGTAAGGAAAACATCTCTTTTTTGGAACCCTGATGATCTTCCTGGGTTTTTATTTTATGTGGAGGTTTTTTTGTTTGTTTGTCTTTTTTTGTTTACTTCCCTTTTTTAAGTCCAGCCAAGGCATGTTTAACTGTACTAAGCATTTGAGTTGTTTCTCTTTATGTATGGTTGTTTCCCAGGAGATGAATACTGTTTTTTTAATAAACTTGCTTTTAGTAGTGTCTTCTGTATGTTAGTTGTTTTTAAACCTCAGAATGCTAGATAGGCAATCATATTTTATTCCTATACCAGTCAACTTATAACATCACCTGAATTCCATAGAAAACTTATTTTAAAGTACTTCAGGCAGTGTGTACCCAGAAAGTGCTACAAAGGATTTAGGATTATGAGGTTTGAGGCAGTGACTAAGACGAGAAACAGGTTTTGTTCACGCTTTTTTTTGTTCGTTTGTTTATTTAGCTGCAAGACAAAAGATAAATGAAGAATTCAAAAATCACCAAGATGAGAAATCAGAAGAGAAGATAAATGAGGTACTTCCTGGTTTCAGTGTTTTTTTCCACATTGCTTAAGAATACTTACGTAGGAGCTTTTTACTTACAGGATCTCTAAACCAATGTAAGTACTTCTTGAGACATTGTGAGAGCCAGGTGAGTTCAAAAAGGCTTTTACATGGATCTTCGTTTGTAAATATATTGATATATCCATCGATATTAATAGTATGTTACAGAATTTTGTACATACAAAAATACAGAATGAGAAAGTGTCTTCTGGTATTTCAATATGCTTGTAATTATGGAAAACAAAAATTTATGTTGCTGGTTTTGCATGACTATTTTGTATACTTTGCTCAATATCTGTCTGAGCTGTGGTCACTTAAGTTTACCTAGTTTTTGTTGTATATGGAAACACAGAAAGATACATACAGAGAAATATAATAATCTGCTCAGTTACTGGCAGACATAAGAAGTTATTTTGATTCCTGATTACAAATGAGGCAGCATCTTTTGTGGGAGGCAAAAAACAACCAAATGATCGTGACTGTTGTAATAGGTACTAGGCTGTTATGTTGCTTTTCCTCGTGGTGCATTAGGTGTAGAACATTCTGTTAACACACTGTGTTAGTTCCCTTTGCTTCGTTGTGGTCTTAATACTTTTTACTGAGTCTTTTTATAAAACTGACTGAGGCCTGAACTGAAACTTCTGTATTTTAGATATTTTTAGTTCTTAACATCCATTCAGAGTGAGTAATCTAGTCCTTGTTATTCAGCCTTTTATTTACATTGTCATTGGGCACTAGTTGGAAGAAAGTGCCTCCATCTGTCCTTTGCAGAAGTAAATCTAAACCTCTGCTTCATACCAGCCACTGGGCAGTAACATAAGTAATTCTGAGCAATTAGTTAGCACTTTCTAGCATTTCAGCTGCTCATCAGGCCCCTACAGTGATACTTCTGTGTGTTCACAGTGTCTGATCTGTTAAAATTGTATGTTCTTTTTGTTACAAGTCTACAGGAAAAATACTTCCTGTACTTTTTAGATCTATATTTGTTAGGAATGGCAACCAACAAAATACACATTTGTAACTTTTTAATCTGGGTTAATTGATACCTTGATCAAATGTGCAAGTGGAAGAACTTCTAGACTTTCATCACAGCTACAGAATTCTAGAACATCATGGAAGCTTTTCTATTTATATTATATATATATTCATGGACTGGTGCAGAAGAACTGAAGCAAATAATACAAAAGACTTGTGAGAATTTGGGTGCTTGCTTGCATAAAAACAGGGATGTTAGTGTTCTGCTTTGGACAGCAGCTAAAAAAATCAATGTTGGCCAACCAAATGTGCATTACTTTGCCAGAATAGAAAGCTGCACTGTCTTCTAATATGACATCAAATAGTTACGTATTGACCTGAGGAGGCAGCAGTAACTGTCTGCAGTATTAGAATGTGAGATGTAGCAGCTGATTCTACTGCAGCAGTTCAGTTCAGCTCAGGAGCGCACCTCTGAAGTTACTTCCTGGCATTTGGCTTGTTTTGTGAAACAGTCTTAGAGCAAATGGCAGAATTCCTTTAAGATGAATCTGAAGTGAAATCAGGAAAATCAGGAGCATGCAGCCTAGCTGCTGATGGACATTCAGTAGGAGGAACTGGAGGATATCTAGTCCAAACTCTTAAAAGGGAAAAGGGGGAGGAGATACTCAGTCTAGGTGTCCAGTCTTGAGCTCTAATCTTTGCAAAGATCCACTTCTGTTGATATATGCTACTTCCTAGTGTAAACATGCCTCCCAAAATGTCTCACTTGTGCAGTTTAAGTTTTTACTGACACAAATATCACACAAACAAACTTTGGACTTCTCTTAATCATCCAGAAAACTACTGCTTATCTTCTTAATGAGGGAAAGAATTTTAGGCCTTTTACCAAATAGTAATGCTTCTGCTAATCTTTAGGTAATGTCTTGTTCCCATGCTACTTTTCTGCGAAACCCAGTATTCTTAATTCCTGTCATGATTTGCCCTTATTTTTGTCTCCTTATTTCAAGAGCTGGAATGTTAATAGAACTAGATTGCCCTCTCACTAGGGGTGGTCAGATGTTACCAAGGCATTCACTAATGTCTTTGATCATTGTAAACTAGTTACTTGCTTTGGTACTTGCATTCTACCTTATTCGTTTGCAGTTTTAATTTGGCAGATAGAATTTGTGCTGCTGTATATTACTGAGCAGAAGCATCCTTCCTCTCATGCTGCATGTCAGGGTAGGTTATATATCAATCTATAATTTATTCTAGGATTCCCAAAGTAAAAGCTGTATATAGGTAGTGCATAACTAAATGAATAATAGAATTGAATGGCTTTGTTGTATGAATAGCTGTCTAGTACGGAAAACACTTTCAGAAATAATTACATATCATTTAAATTACTCTGTTGTTTGTTGTTTTGTTTTTCCCTTTTACTAGCTTCTGAAAATAGCTTCAGATGTTGAAGTGATTCTTAGAACTTCTGTTATTCAGGCTGTTCACACAGATTCCAACAAAATAGGTGAGTAAAGCTGTGTTCTAAAAAGATGTTTAAAAATGTTGTAGTTCAGCAAATAAATACAGAACTTGAAAACTAAGTAAAGGGATAGAGAGGGCAAAATTCTGTCTATCTGTAATTTCTCTGCCCAAACCCTTAATTTAAGCCTGTCTGCTAATGTCACTGGCTAGGACGTGTGCAGGTTTCAAACGTACAGAGTTTCTACACAAATATTTTGAGATACAGAGGCTGCTAGGAAAGAGGCAGTGACTACGTTTAATGCCCTCATTGAGAGAAAGAAGTTGTAACTTGGCACCTTAACTATTATGAGCGACAGCAATTATGTAGCTAGTCAGCATGCATGTACTGGCTAGTCAGTCACTATGTATCTAGATGTAGTGCCCGCAGTATCTGTAGGTGCTTACTCTGCCAAACAGGTAGAAGATTTTTGAGGATATGTACGCTGCATTTTGCAGTATGTACACTGTCCATAGAATGGCTTTTTTTTTTTTTTTTTTTTCAAGGTTGAGTGTTTTCCAAAACCTTGTTCTGACAGTTCAAGTTTCAGATTATGCCTTAGAATATTTGGCCACAGTGATGGCCTTGATGCAAAGCCTATCAAATTCTGAAATTATGGTTCCTGGTCTGGAAGTTCTTTTAGAGTCAAACACAAGAGAAGCAGTAGGTTCAGCATACAGCTGTGTGGTAGAGGATAGAAGAACTCTTCAGCTGTGTACATTGCTTTCTTTCCATTTTTGTTCAGTGGTGTCTGTGAAGCTGTGTAACTATTTCAGTTTTAGATTGGTAAAGCATTTAACTTTAGAACAGCCATTTCGATCGAGACTAAAGATACGTCTTGCTAGACCAGTATCGAGTCTTCCACAGTGATCCTAGGCAGATGACAGCAGAAGAGAGGAACAGAGCAAGTGAAATTTCTCATGTTCCAGCTGTTTACACCTAGCAGCACTTCCTATGTCAGGGATGGTTTCTGTTGTCCTCAGTGGGTTTCTCTCATGAACTTGGCCCCTGTCAAACTATGGACATTTCTTGCATTGAAGAACCTTTCACAAAGAATTTACTCTGTTTTTTGTGAAGAGTCACTTGCAGTAGTTTTGAATTTGGCCCTACTCTTTATTAACTATCCATTTCCACCAAATACGAGTTTTATGCCCGTTATTGCCCCCTTTTTGTTTTTTTTTTAACTCCCTTTGAAACAGCTTCTCTGTGAAACAACAAGTGAATGCCTGTGATCATTCTGTTGCTATTCTCTGCACCTTTTCAATTCTACTCTATCTCCCTTAAGGTGATTAGGAGCTTGCTCTCTCAATGAGAGCTGAGCGCAGTCATCAAGCTGTGGGCCAACCAGGCATTTATACACACACAACGATGGCACAGTGATGTTTTCTCTTTCATTCTCCATTGGTTTCCTAGTCATTCCTAATTATAGATTTCGTTTTTGGCTGCTGTGCATACATGCATTTATTTATTTTTACAAAATAATCTTGTATTCATTAAACTCATCTGAATGTTTCTAGTTAACTTTCAATCGATCACTTTGTGAAGTTAGGTTGGTTTGGGGTGGTTTTTGACTTGTATGCGTTGCATGTCTCTACATGTAATTTTGTCTGTCATTTTACTGGTTACTTTGTTAAGTCTTACTCTCATCCTGCCGTTCTTCACAGTGAGCCATTTCTTAAAGAACTTACTCAGGATGGTATCATTAGAAAACATTCTTTTCCAGGTTACTTACAAAAACCTTGAACAGCACAGATGCCAACAAAAGTACCTGTAGAACTCCACTTTTGAATTCCCTCCCTTGGGAGACCTGTTCATTTATTGTTCACCTCCTCCAGTTTAACCAGTGACTTATCCATGCAAGGCTTCCTGTCACAGTAAGGCTGTTGCTTTCTTAGAAGCATTCCCTGAGGGACTTTGGGAATCCAAGCATGTTGGGCAGCTCTTGGGCAGCCCCTCAAGAACTGTTCAAAGAACTCCATCAAGAGCTGTAAGGCATAACTTCTCTGGCAAAAGTCATGTGAATTTGTGTTTAAGTATTAATTGATCTTTATGTCAATGTGTAGGGATGGGGTTAGGAACCCAGCCACAGCGCACCTAGAGCTGATCTTGGCAAGGAATGTGAATGACAGCAAGAACAACTTCTATAGCTATATCGGCAGCAAAAGGGAGTGGAGGGAAAATATGAGCTGACAGCTGAATAGGGCAGAGGACCTGGTAACAAAGGACACAGAAGAGTCTGAGGTGCGACTGGAGCAAGAATGACTTACTTTTGGTAGATGAGGAAAAGGCTATGAGTATTTGAACAGATAGGGCATATACAAATTCATGGGACCTGACGTGATGCACCTATGGGTGGTAAGGGAGCTGGCTGATGTCATTGTGAGGCCCCTCTTAAGTCATCATGGTGATTAGGGGAATTGCCTGAGGTCTGGAAGAAAGCAGATGTCACTCCTCCTTTCAAGGAAGCCAAGAGGGAGGATCTGGGAAACTGGTCGGCCTCACCTCAGTCCCTGGAAAGGTGATCAAGCCAAACCTGGAAGCTGTTTCCAAATGTTCTAAGAATAGAATGGGAACTGGGAGTAGTCAGCAAGGATATACAAAGGTGAGATCTTCTCTGACGAGTTTGATACCCTTTTACAGTGAAATGACTTGACTCAGCAGACAAGGGCAGAGTACTGCTGATTGTCTGTTTTGACAGTTGCAGAGCTTTAATGCTGTCTCCTTTTAAATATCCATAAACAAAAAGGATAGAATTGCCCCTCCTATTTTTACAGACTTCTAAGAGAAGGAGTGGCAAGGAGGTTTGTGGGGAAGGAGGTCATCCAGAGTGTACTACTGGGCAGGAAAATGTCCTGCAGCAAAAAATCTGGAGTGCATCTGTACACAGGGTGCATTTGACCTACTTAATGAATGCAGAGGATATCATTATGCAGTCTTTTGCCCATCATTTTTTTTTTCTGTATCCATTTTGAATAGGTCTTAGCTTTGCTTCTCACTCTGTAATTGATCTTACTGCAGTAAGAACAAAACAATGATCTTGAAACAGCCATCGCAATTTGAGAGATGTCTGGTTTGTGTGTGTGTGTGTGTGTGTGTGTGTGTGTGTGTGTTCGGAATTTATTTTGAAGTGAGAAATACTTAGTCTTGGTGATATAGGGAATCACCAATTAAAGGATCAGGAATCCTTAGAAAAATAAATCCAGAGCATCTTGACAGAGGTTTTTAGGATAAGGATGAACAGTAAAAATGAATAGAATGGATTCTTACTTGTCCTGGTATAATTAAAATGCAAAGAGCATTCAGTGAAGTTGGAATTTACACTCAAAGCTAATAAAAAAGAAAAAAGGCATTTTTTATTTTACACAAGAAATAGTTCTTAAAGGTCATGGCAATGAAAAATCTTTGTGGCCAGGAGCAAGGTATTATTCAAAATACAAAAAAGCAGAAAATCAAATTTGATGCTTAGCTTGATACTGTAGTAAAAGAGTAAAAGCAAATATCCTTACCGAAGGAATATGCAGACCTTTCCACCATGGTAAATTGATTAGTAACAGAACATTATTCCGAAGTATTGCTGTTTGAGCAGGCTCCTTGTAGTGTTTGCATCTTTCCTAAGAATCCAACCTTGTTTAGTTAGACAGCACTAAGAACTAGGCAGTTCTGGTATAGCTGTTATTATTAATGTCACTGGTAGCACAGAGTATGCCATTAGAAAATTCCAGAAATTCAGAATTTTAGGGAGTTGAGATAGTTGTGACTATATCTTAATAGCAGTTTATAGTTAATAGCATGGTCAGTTTACTGTGTGAAATTGTACCTAAAAAATAAATAACAATATGTTACGTATATGTGCCTAAAATAATATGTATACGTACCTAAAAAAATAAATAAATGGGTGTGCTTTCCACTGCTGCTCCATTTTGCTGAATCTCACCCTACTCTCTTCATCCCTTCTTGTTTGTAAAGAACAATTGTTTTAAGATTAAAAAGACAAAAAAAGTTAGAAGTGAGACTTCGATTTCCAGTTGAATCTGTGGCAAAATGTTTTCATGGTTTAACCCTAAATGGCAACTAAGCCCCACACAGCCATGGTTGGAGAGCGAATTGGAAGGGTAAAAAGTAAGAAAACTCAGGGATTGAGATAAAAACAGTTTAACAGGTAAAGCAAAAGTCACACAGGCAGGCAAAGCAAAACATTTACTGCTTTCCATGGCCAGGCAGGTGTTCAGCCATCTCTGTGAAAGTGGCAGGGCTCTATCATGTGTAGTGGTGATTTGGGAAGACAAACACCATCACTGCAAACGTCTCCCCATCCTTCTTATACCAGGTTTTATTGCTGAGTAAGATGTAAAATGGTATGGAATATGCCTTTGGTCAGCTGCAGTCAGCTGTCCTGGGTGTCCCCCCCACGTCTTGTGCATTTAGGTAATGAAAATACCAAGTGGATCTTCTTATTTTTCTTTGCTTTTTGGCACGTAGGAGCCAGTTTCTGTTGGGAGGTTTGTTGTAGGAAATGCCTGTGTAGATATATAAGTCTGCTTGGGTATTCAATTCTAGTACAGCTTTGATTAAGGAAGTTTTGGCAGAACAAAATCAACCATCTTGATCCTTAATCTTCATGCTCTGTGGTAACTTTCACAGCGCCAGTAGAGTTACAGTTAGCTCCCTCCTTGCTTTTATGGTATCATTTTGTATTAAATGACAGGCTCGGATCAGATTTATTAAAGAAAAAAAAAAAGTGCAACCCTAACGTGGCTGCTTGAGTTGCTGTTTGTTGGCAAAGGAAAATAAGCAACCTCAGTAGAATGTTTACTTTTCAAAATGCTTCATCTTAGGTGCTACGTATTTGTTTTGGAAACTTTGTAGGTGAAAGTTTACTTTGCTGTAGTAGAAAATCTAGTGACCTATTTTGGGGCGAAAAAAAAGTAAAATACTTACATTTGGGCTGCATTTAAATTACTCTAACGTCCTTGCTTCAGTCTTCTTTTGGGTTTGGGAGGGCAATGGTTTGGGATGAAGGAATCAGTTGCTATGTTGTACGAAGGAGCAGGCGAACAATAAACTAGGTAAATTGTTTCAGAAAGCTATTGCAACTCACTCCTTAAGTGAGTTACTGCCAGTTTTTTGATTCTAAATTTTTATATTATAGCTGACAATACACAATTTAGCTACCACTGTTGGGTTGGTTTTTTTAATCATGCATCTCCAAAATAACTAATAACCAAAAATAAAAAGCCAAAGACTTGTCTTAGTGAGAGCAAATATTAGTAAGGGGAACATATTTCCTAGTGAAATGAAATTATTCTGTGCTGTCATAGAAGCAGTGCACAAGGCAAAGATATTCTTTAAAAGGAATGTGAGACACAGTGGTGGACTGTCATGTTGGGGTAAGTCGTTAAGAAAAAAACGTGGCTGAGGTTTTCTTACTAAAGAGAAGACAATTTCAATAAGGAGCTTGTTAGTCGTATTAGATAATCTGTTATTTTGTTTTGTTTTCTTAAAGATTTCAATGTGAATTATTTGGTAGTATATAAATATCTCGGTTCTATTAATTTCATTTTAATTTCAGATTAGGGTGATACAAGAAGAGATTACATTTTAGTCATATACATGCAGTATTTTCTGGTGATCTTGATTTGGTGTGTTGTCAGTGTATGTTTGAAATCTAGCTTTGAAAAGGAAAGTTAAAAAGTCTTATTTCAGCCTTCGTTTGGACTTCTGTTTTTCAATATCTTACATCCAGTTCTGTTTTTCTGTGGTATTTCTGTTCTGAGTACCTATTCTAGGTGTGTAGATCGGCATGTCTTGTTACAAATATACTCAGATGTAAAAGAAGAGCAATTGAAATTCTACTTAAAGCTCTTAGAAACTTATTAAATGCATCAGTATTAGTACACAGATGCAAAAGGAACATACCTTTAAGGAAATCAGTTTTCTTTCTTAGGAGATGTGGGATATCAGTGCACTTTGGTCAGAACGTTACTCTTTGCACACATATCCATACAAACACAGAGTTTTACAGGTTTACTGTAACTTTCACAGCCATCTGACCCAGTCAAAGTACAGCATTAGGATTTCAGGTGTTTGTGCTTTAGTTTTTGCTTCTGGAGCAAATCAGACGTGACACACCTCTTTGCCTTCATCAGTAAGGGAAAGCTGATTCCTGGAGAGCTAGAGGGCAAGAACTTGAAGAGTCAGTAAGAGGTTAAAATGGTACATAATTAGGCAAACCTTAACACACTGCACCTCTGTGACAACACAGTGGCCATAATTTTTGTTTGGTGCTTTCTTTTGCTGTTGTTCTTTAAAACAGGTAGGGCAAGATGAATATTACAGATCAGATTCCAGGACACTGGGGGCGAGGGCTAAGTCAAATTTAGTATTCATTTCTGGAGCTGTTGGAGCAAACATAGTCTGACTCAGGCATGATAAAATTGCCGTTACCTCTCTCTCTAAAAGCTACTGCAACACTTTACCATTTTTTGTGGATTTGTAAAACTATTAATATATTTTTAGTGCTTTAAAAGGAAAAAGGGGAAGGCAATATTCTGACCAACAGAAGGTAAAAATCTTAATATAATTCTGTCTTGGATAGATACCATGGTGCTGCATGTACATTTACCAGAAGTTCAGATTCTCATTGTAGTAATCTGAGTTTTGTTTGTAAACGTAAAAACAACTTTAGAATTTTAAATAGTATTTTCCATAAGATTATATTCTTAGAGTTTTTTTTTTCTATTACAGTGCTCGTACCGAGGAAAGATCTGCTACAAGACAATACTCCTTACTTTGATAAACCAACAAAAAAGCATGAATCCTGAGGAAAATACATCCCTCTCCCCAGAAGGCTAATATCCTGTAATGAGATCTCTGAAAACCAATAGTGAATACCTGTATTAAAGTTAAACTTAAAAAATTGTTGAATATTGTCACCAGGAAATCAGGAACTGAAACGAAGTCACTGATTTTATTGTATTCTGTGGTATCATTACACACTTCTTCTGTGAAAGATACTACTTCCACAGAAGTGGATACTAAGACTTCCACTTCAAGACACAGTTGTCATGAAAATACACTGCTGAATTGTGCTACTTCAGCCAGGAATGTTTTTATGACAGTTGTCAGAGATTGTTTCCTAGCAATCCTGAGAGTTTTGGGGTGGGTTTTTTTTTCAAAACTAAATACAAGTTAAATGCAGTTCTTAATCCTGATAATTATTTATAAGTTTATTGTCAATCATACACTGCTTTGACGTAATGAAAGACCATCTTGTGGCACTTGCCATTAAATTTATGCTTTGCACCAAAAGCATGATTTCTAAAGTTGTCGTCAATTGTACACTAATGTGATGCCTGATAGAGTTCTTAAGGTTTATCTGAATAAATTATTTAGGTTTTGCAGATGTGAGAGCGTGTGTAGTGTTTTTCTTCTCCCCTACATCTTTGAATGAGCAGGAGTGGTAGAGTTTGAGTTCTTAGATGACAGTGGAACAAAAGAACCCAGCCACAGCTGTGATTATAGAGTGACTTACTGAAGTATTTTTCCAAGGAGAAGAGGTTTGTTGATAAGTTGCCAGTGATCTGACTTGCCAAGAGTGAATTTATTTACTAAGCCCTTATGATTTCATTTTTTTTAATGGAGACTGACTTGCTTCTTGTGGAATTCATCGCAATGATCACTTTCATTTTAATTGGAACCAGATACAACTGCAGTGATACATAGAATTATCACTGTGAAATCAGTAACAGGCACCATACTAAGATCTAAATACCTCACACAGGAGTGAGATAGTGCAGTGATACCTCTCAGCTCTGTGTCAGGTCCCAGTGATCCTGTTTCTTTTTAATAAGCCTCCAAGATGTCTATATAGCATATCTTTGTGGGTTGTGACATGGCTTCTCTGACCGAGTGAAACGGAAAACTGAAGTGCCTGCATCCTGTCCCTGTTCCTCAGACAGCATGTCGGTGCAATCAGAACTCCTTTCTTTAAAACAATTGCCTGCGGCTGCTGCGGGCAGGACCATATGCAAGGCCAGCAGCAAATACGTTGTCAGTAACCCTCTTCCAATTGCACTGGTACTCTGTACGTTGTAGCTGGAAGGCAGCAGGCAAATGTTAGGAGATACCATGATATGAGTGTAGTTCTTGCTGTTGCGGTTTTAGTGGCTCCACTAAGAAGCAAATGCTTTGGTCTGCAGGGGATGTGCTGTTCTAGGCTTCTTGTGTTTACTTTCTGAAGGACAAGGCATATTCTAGATCTGATCTTCCTCTGCAGCCTGCCTACATTGACTTTTTTCTTCCCCATAAGGAGCGTAAGAGAAAGGTGTGCAAGGGAGAGAAAATGGATGGCAGTTGCAGCTATTAAGAGAAAACAGAACATTACCTCAGGCAACATCATAGAATCACAGAAATGTTAGAGTTGGAAGATACCTTAAAGATTATCGAGTTCCAACCCCCCTGCCATGGGCAGGGGCACCTTACACAACCAAGTTGCTCAAAGCGCCGTCCAACCTAGCCTTGAACACTGCCAGGGATGGGGCAGCCACAGCTTCTCTGGGCAACCTGTGCCAGTGTCTCACCACCCTCGTAGTGAAGAATCACCTCCCTCCTTTTGATGCAGCCCAGCATACAGTTGGCTTTCTGAGATGCAAGCACACGCTGATGGCTTATGTTCAGCTTTCCGTCAGTCAACACCCCCAAGTCCTCTGCAGGGCTGCTCTCAATCCAGTCTCTTCCCAGCCTAAAAGTGACTAATTTTTAAGATGAAATAATTAAATGGGTCTGGCAAGAATAACAAATTATACAACCATTAAGGTGTACGCCCCATGGCGTGCTGGAACTGGGCAAAATTCATCTCTTGTAAACCTGTTGCTTTAGGCTGTGGGAGTACTGTATCAGTGATTTTAGCCTTCAGATTGATTTTGTAGAAATCACTAACACCTGGTAGATCTTTACTCGTTTGGTAGTGATATAAAGTAATATTGCCTGTTACAGTGCAAAGCACGTACTGAGAGGCTGAGTGATGTCAACAGTAGATGGCGATCTTTTATATGTTTGAGGAAACTGCAAGTGCAGAAACTATTTCATGTGACTGTTGCTTCTGTATTATTCTGCTGTCATGTGTTTTAGGTTTTAATTTTTAACAGGAATTAACATTAGTAGAAAGATAGTGCAGAAAGGTCAGTTTATGGGGTCAGGCTTGGGATTCAACAGGCATTTATGTGTTTCATCTTACCTACATCTTGAATACCCATAATTAAAATACAGAATGAGTCACTGCAATAACAGACACCACTGCTGAAAGTAGACATGGTAAAAAAAAGTTGATAGAATTGAGTGGCCTGAAGAACAATTGCCTTTACACTACTATGCAGCCTGTGTATGGTCTGTGCATCAACATTCCATGTCCTTGTGCATACCTGGGCAGCAAAGGCAAACTGAATTTTGCAGTGCTGAGATGAGAAAAATCAAATAAGGAAAAGATTATTAATGTAAGAGATAGACCTATTTGTTGCTCTTGTTTCAATGTGATCTTAAATAGGAATCCAGAGGGTATCCAGACCAGGATAAATAGGAATCCATGTAAGGAACTGAGCCTAAAAGTATCTCAGAGTTGGTCACTGTCTGGGCCCAGCAGGATGTTTTCTTTCTGCAAATTTAGCTTTCCAACCGTGAAAGAATCTTACAAACCTGCTTAATGAGCAGCAGGGTAATTAAGGGCTTCTCTGTGCTAGGTGGTCATAGCAGCTGTTCTTCTCCTTGCTTACTTGTTGGTTCACATTCCAGTACCTAGTCATCTCCACAGCTTCCATTTCCTCCTCACTATGAAGGTGGTGAGGCGCTGGCACAGGTTGCCCGGAGAAGCTGTGGCTGCCCCATCCCTGGCAGTGTTCAAGGCCAGGTTGGACACAGGGGCTTGGAGCAACCTGCTCTAGTGGAAGGTGTCTCTGCCCATGGCAGGGAGCTTGGAACTGGGGGATCTTTAAGGTCCCTTCCACCCCAAACTGTTCTGTGATTCCATTTTCATTTCACTTTGGATGTGAATCTGTTCTTGATACTGCTGGCTTTGTGCTCATATGTATCATCTTTATTTTCTTAAATTAATAATAAATAAAGTATTTTTGCATTCCCTCTGCAAAATTTGAAGTATTAGCTGAAACTTTCAAACATTACAGAGGCTTTCACTTAATGGCTTGGGAGGGGAAAAGGTTGATTCTTTACAAGAGAAAATGCAATTTAATAGGCTTACAGTAACATGATTCAATCCCATTAAACTTTTTCAGGTGTACTGGAACTGCAGAATTTTAGAGCAGACATATGTGTCTTTCTTCCAAAGTAATGCAACATCATCAGCGTTAAAGTTAATAGTTTTTTAAACTGTTGTTTAACTATGCAGGAAATTCTGTTGGAAAAGGCTCACTACTTGCTCAGATCTGCTACAGTTCAGCTACGAGGGCTGTAGGGTCAGTATGGTCTCACCACGGGGCATTGCTTTCTGGAGGTGCCCATATAGATACGCTAGCAGTGCTGCAGGACCTGGTATTCTGAAGGTGATTTTGGCAGAACAGATGTCACCTCAGTGATTACACTTAAGAAAATTCTAAGCACTTCAGCTTTTGACGTCATCTGCCAGAGATGTGTCAGTCAGAGCCTTCCGCTAATGTATTGTTCATGAAATGTTGGGTTTGTGTACACTGTAGCTTTAATGAAAGCATCAGATACAACCAAGGAATATTTGCTGTTCAAGTACTAAGTTTTGGGTTTGTTCTAACCACCTTTCCCTCTCCTCTATATAACAGTTTCAAAATACAAGTTTTTTATTTGGAAGCAGTAGCTCAGGATGGGGATCAAGCATAGTATTAGCACATTTGCTGTAGACTGATGTTCATAAAACACAGGAGCTAGGTTTAATCTGTGAATTGATTTTGCTTGCATGGATAGGATTTATCTTGAAGTCTTTATGGTCTTCACGTGAAACAAGGTGGTTTTTCTAATATAACAGGGCCAAATTAATGCCCTTCTTTGTTCCTCTGCACTTTGGTAAAGGAAGCATTTAGTTGCTGTTCTTACAGGGGTGCAGGGGTGCTGCTGTACACCACCAAGTGACTCCACGAAGTTCTGGAGGTAGTACTAAAAATTTAATCTGGAAAAGTGGCTTGTGTCTTCTCCAAGGTGCTGAGTTCTCAGGCAGTTTATCAAGTAATATGAAATCAACAAACTTGTGGCAACTCCAGTGATTAAACCTTGCATTAGTATTTATTCTCAGAGATCATGCCAGCTGAAGGAGCTGAACTAGACTGCTGCATAGCATTATCGATCCTTTATGTATCATACTGGATTTGTAAATAAAGTAATTTAGCTTGCAGTACTGGCAGTTCTTTACACTTCCTTTACAAAAGGGAAAAAAAATATTGGCAATTGGAAACTAAAAATAACGGCTGACCAGCTTACAGGAAGAGCTGAGTCCTAGTACTTCCCTGCCTAGGTAACTTTCCAAACTATTGGCAACAATTTAATCCTAAACTCTGACGTTCAGTGGGCTGTCAAATATTTGATTTTAGCTTTATGGCAAGTCAATTACTTAACACAAAGCACAAAACACAGTCCGAATTCAGTGTTAAGGCTGGTATTTTACAGCTACAAATATTTTATGTTTTGGTAACTCTAGTAGAAATCCAGTCATCTTTGAGGGTAAAGTGTATGTTGTTTGTGTGGCGTGTATCTGGGGTGTAGATATTCTGATCTCTCTAATTCTGTTGAAAGACCTCACTCATGAAGCTTTTATGACAGCTTTATTCAGCTTTTTTAAAGTTTAGCTTTC